CCCCCCCCACAGGGGCCGCCCCGGGGGAGGGGCTTGTGGGGACACGGCCACCCCCCCGGCTGCCACAGGCAGGACTCTGCTGCTGCCCAGACCTGTTCCTGCAGAGAACTGCTCTGCACCACCCCCCGTGTGCCAGCAAGCCAGAGAGCTCCTGCCCCACGGCCCCACGCCCAGCCAGGCCCCTGCTCATGCCCAGGGCACGGGGGCTGTGGCGAGGGGTGACCTACCATGAAGAGAGGGGGGTCCCTGGCGTGCGGGTGGAACCCCTTCTGGCGGCAGGAGCAGATCTCCTGCAGGCCGTGCTCTGTCAGCCTGAAGAACCCCGTCCTAGGACGAACACACACAGGCTGTGGGATGCTCCTCTGCCCACCCTGTGCCCCCAGAGCCGGCTCTTCTGGAGAGAAACTCCCAGTGTGTGACCTGACATTTAATCCCCACACCAGGGATCTGACAGAGGAAGGGTTGTGGCAAACAGGCCTTCAACACCTCCTGAAGAGGCTGGACCCCACAGAGTGGTGGGGTGGGAAGGGACCTCTGGGGATCATCTCATCCCACCCCTGCCCCAGCAGCTCACCCCCAGCAGGGTGCCCAGGGTCACAGCCAGGAGGGTTTGGGATCTCTCCAGAGCAGGAGACTCCACAGCCTCTCTGGGCAGCTGCTCCAGGCTCTGCACCCTCACCCCAAAGAAGTTTCTCCTCCTGCTCAGGTGGCACCTCCTGGGTTCCAGCTGGTGCCCCTAGTCCTTTTGCTGTGGGAAGGGCTCTCCCCACCCCACCCCCTACTTACTCCTGGTATTTTGGAGAGCACACGATAGCGATGGACTCGGGCAGCATCATCTGGTAGGAGCAGTGGGTGTGCAGGTCGACGCTGGAGAGGAAGGCTGTCTGCGTGGGGTGTGTCTGCAGCAGGGGACAGGAGACAGCAAGTCACAGCAGGGCTGGAGAACGAGTCCAGAGGGACCACACCCACCCAGAGGAGGTTGTAAGAGAGGAGACACAGCCCTGGGAAGGCACAGAGGACACACGTGCACACGGGAAGGGGTTCTGGATTGGCCCAAAACATCTGCTCCTCTTTGCCATTTGGAGGAGCTCTACGTTTCTGGCCATATCCCACAGGAGGTCACACCTGAGGCACAGAGCTGTCCTTGCTTTCACACGTGTCTCCCCACAGGGTGCTTCACACCCTGGGGCACAGCCCCACGGGAACCTACCCCTGCCAAGGCTCTCCAAGAGACCACAGTCCATAAAGATGCTCAAGGGTTGCACGAGCCATGATTATTGCATGATTATTTGTGCTTGGGTCAATGCCAAGCACAAATCCAGGCTGGGGGTGCAGGGCTGGAGAGCAGCCCTGGGGAGAAGGCCCTGGGGGTGCTGGGGGTGAGGAGCTGCCCAGGAGCCCCCCACCGCCTGGGCTGGCCCCCCAGCAGCGTGGGCAGCAGGGCAGGGAGGGGATCCTGCCCCTCTGCCAGCTCTGGGAGACCCCCCTGCAGTGCTGGGGCAGCTCTGGAGTCCTCAGCACAGCAGAGCCAGGGAGCTGCTGGAGCGGGGCCAGAGGAGCCCCAGCAATGCCCCGAGGGGGGAACCCCTCTGCTGGGAGCCCAGCAGGAGAGAGTTGGGCTGGGGCAGCTGAGAGGAGAAGGCTCCAGCTGGGGAGACCTGCTGGGGGCTGCCAGGGGCCTGTCAGAAAGCTGGGGAGGGACTTTTGAGCAGGGGCTCTTGGGACAAACACCTTGTTAGGTGTTTTTTTTCCAAGACCAGCAGAAAGGCCAAAGGGATTCTTGAGGGTCCCCGAATGTTGCAGGGCTGTCACCAAAGAGTTAACCCCAGAAGCAGACACCCTGCACCTCTCGGGCACATGCAGCAGGCATTTATTTGTCAGATCCTGTGAGGCAGCTGCTGCTTGCCAGAGGTTACCCAGCAGCACCAAAGCTGTCCCTTGGCACTGCTCTGGGTGCCGAGGGCTCCATGGGCCAGCGAGGGCTCTGGACTGGCACAACCCAGCAGAGCAGCTCAGAGCTGGCTGTGGAGAGACCCCCCCTGAGGAGCTCGGGGTGTCCCCACGGTGCATCTGGAGCTGGGGTGCCTCTGGATGAAATGGGAGCTTTGCACTCACCCCCAGTTCAGAGGGAGCTACACGCAAACCAGGTCTGGGTTCCTGCAGCTCTGAGAGTAGGGGCAGCAGAGGGAGAAATCCAACCAGGAGATGCTGCTAGCCTGCCAACAGCCAGGGCTTGCCCAAGACCTGACAGGGATCGAGGGCTGCATGGCCACTAGAACTTGGTCACCCTGTTTCGGGGCCCTTTGGCTGCCTCTGTTGTGCTCTTGCCCCCAGGTCAGACTCGACCAGGGCAGTGCTGAGTGGGTTCCCTCTGAGTGAGTGGGTTTGCAGTCAGGGACCCTCCCCCTGGATCAGACACTGCCCAAGGAAACCCCCCAGAATCGAGTGAGCTCTCACCCCCCCCACTTCAGTAAGTGAATGTTTCCTCTGGACACATCCTAGAGCGAGCCCTTGCCCTGTCTGGGTGAGTGACCCCCTCCTGGGGTCCTGCGTGGGAGGTTTTCCCTTTTCTGAGGCAGGGTGCACAAATTCTGGTTCAGCTTTCTAGAAAAGAACATTCCTAAAACTTAGAACTTGTTGTGCATGACTATATTTCCCCCTGACATTCAAACCTGCTCATTTCCTTTGGCCTGTTGGAGTGCTCAGTCATTTTTGGTCTCAATAAATCCACGTTTTGGGGGCGCTACTGCTGCCTGTTCTGCCGCCGCCTGCGTGGCCCCGTGTTGCCTCCTCCAGGAAATTCCCTGCTCCAGGCACCCCCTCCCCTGTGGCCAGTGGGGCTGGGCAGCAGGACTCACGTGGATCCAGCCCAGGGTGACGAGGCCGTGCTGGTCCTGGCTGAGGAAGAGCTCCTCCTCACTCTCTGTGTTGCAGTAATCGGGGCCCCCGTGCTGCTTGGGAACGATGACGTGGGTTATGGTGAACTCGTTCCTCATCTGCAAGGCAGCACAGGGAGCACGTCACCCCCGACACCCCCGGGCAGCAGAGGCAACTTCAACAGCCTGGCAACACTCAGCCCCAGCCCCAGCAGCGGGCAGCAGCTGCTCTGGAAACAAGCCCCCGGATGCGCCCACCTCCACGTTTTGAGGTCACAGAGTTGGGAGTGGCAAGTTCCTGGTGAAGGAGCCACAGGATGGTTCCAATCTGTGGGTTTCTCTTTCGTTCCCCCTGCCGTGCAGAGCACCCACAAGAGCTTGGGGAAGTTCTGGACACCCACTGAAGCAAATGTCTCCACTTACTAGGAGATGACACCTCATAATGAAACCAGCACCACGTGTCTGGAGGCAGCTGGACTGCAGAGAGCTGCTCCATCAAACAGCTCCAGTTCTGGGCACTTCTGCAAAGCAAAGCAGCCCCAGGCACCTCGGGGGAGACAGGCTGGAGACACACAAACCCTCTGGGCAGAACTGACTGTCCCCAGTCAGCACTTGCACAGCCCTGTCTGGGTGAGGGTCCTGCTGCTACCAAAGATACTCTCACGCTGCCAGGGCTGCCAGGGGCCTGCCAGCAAGCTGGGGAGGTTTTTGAGCAGGGAGAGTTGGGACAGGACAAGGGGGGATGGTTTGAAACTAAAAGAGGGAGATTGAGACAGAAGAGAAGGAAGAAATTTTTGACTTTGAGGGTGGTGAGCCCCTGGCCCAGGCTGCCCAGAGAGGTGGTCACTGCCCCATCCCTGGCACCATCCCAGGTGAGGTTGGATGGGGTTTTGAACAACCTCCTCTGGTTGCAGATGTCCCTGCTCCCTGCAGGGGGGGGTTGGACTAAATGATTGTATGATCAAGGTTGGAAAAGACCTCTAAGATCAAGTCCAGCCATCAAGCCAGCACTACCACGAGCACTAAACCACATCCCACAGTGCCATGTCTTAGATGAGCTCTATGGGTCCCTTCCAACACAACCCATCCTCTGGTTCTAGTCTGTGATGTCACCAGAGCTGCTGGTCACCAGCCATGTGAGTGCTTGAGGCAGGCACCCAGCAGAGAGCCCTCAAGGGGAGACAGGAGAAGCTGAACACTCCTGGGGACTCAGTGGCTGGCACTTCACCCAGCGTGAGGAAATGCTGCTGTGAAAGGGAGCAAAAGGAGAGGCAGAGGATCCCTAATGCCCACGTGAGAGCCTGGTGCTCACTGGAACTGCCCTGTCACCTTCTGTGGCAAGAACCAGGATCCTTGAGCCATTTCCAGAGCTGTGCCACACCTTGATGAAAGGTCCCTGCACCACTTCCAGGCTCTGAGTTGGGATTGGCACCTTACCAGCTTGCCACAGAGGATCCCACAGGTCTCCACGCCCCGGATCGTGTTGGCATCAGCCAGCTGGAGGAATTTCTGGCAGAGCTCCCTGGGGACAATGACCTGGCGAAGGACATCCATGCTGGTGGCTGTGGGGAGAACAGGAGCACAATGAGCAGTGGCAGGGGGGACATCAGCTCAGTACCTGAAGGGACTAGGCTAAGAAAATTCACCCTGGAGACATTAAATGCTCCAGTGTCCACCCCCAGAACAGCAGTGACAGCTGAAGTCCTATGGGTCCCTTCCAACAGACACACACTAGTTCTTTCAAAAGAGGGACATGTAGACCTCTAGCAGGGTGTTAAAACCCAAGGCTTTTGTTAGAGGATATCATAAACACTTCAAAAATTTCATTTAAAGGAAGATGGTCAACAACCAGTCCTTTGGAATTCAGTATTTTGGAGCCATATTTTGGCAGAAGAGAACTGAGCTCAGCCTGAATTCCCAGCTTGGATCTAGGAAAGCCAAATAGGCTGTAGACTCCAGATCAGCACCTGGCCTGGGGGGGCTGATTCCCAAGAGGAGACAGTTCCCCCCAGTCCTGCAGACTTGTGCTGCACAAGAGGGAGAACATCCAGTGTTTTGGAAGGCTGAACACCCCCAAGGGATGGAGCCATGACCAGATCCTCCCGAGAGCCTCCCAGACAGATCAGCTCCTGGGCCGTGTTTGGCTGAGCCCCAGCTCACCCCAGAGGAGCACCCCGAGGTACTAACTGTGTTCTGTGCTCCCCAAAGCACTGGGTTTCAAAGATCTGTCCACGACAGGAGGTTTGGAGGAGCCAGACCCCGCTGACAGACTGGCAGGGGGAACTGGAGAGCTGGGAACCTTTGGGGTCAGCTCAGTCGGGGGCTTTTCCACGCCGGGGATGAGGGGTCCATCCAGAGACTCAGGACTGGGCTCTGGCTTCCCAAACTCCTGCACGACCCTCAGACGTTCCTTCTCCAGCTCCTGCCGCCGGATCATCTCCTCGAAGGCATGAAACTGCTCCTGCTCTGCCTGCTGCTGCTTCATCAGGGCCACCCGGCTCCTCTCCTCCTCCAGCTGCTGCTGCAGAGCCAGGCTGCGTGCAAATGCCTCCTCCTCCTCCTTCTGCAAGCAGAACCAGGCCAGGGGCCCTCAGCAGGCAGGGGAACGCCCCCAGAACCTGCCCCCTGCAGCCCCTCAGCAGCCCCACACCGCTCCTGAGGGGTCTGCAGAAGGGGAGCAGCAAACAGCACACCCTGCAAGGAGGCTTCAGCGTGCAGAACAGAGATCCACACTTCCACCAGCTGGGCCAGGGCGGTGCAGCTGCTGCCATAGCCTCCCCTCTTCCCCAGAAATACAACTCCAGGCCCATTTCCCTCTGTCCTCCCTCTAAAATCACCCTTGTGCACAGCAAAACTGACTGCAGAGTTTCCTGCTCTGCCCACAGAACCCCAGCTCCTTGCCCACGCTGTTGCCAGCTGCCTGCTGAGTTTCTGGATCATAAGACCTAGAGGTCATGTTGGGACAAAGAGAAAAAAGCCCAAACAACTAAACCCCAGTCCCAGCTCAGCCTGCCCCCAGGATGCACAGTGAAAAGAGTGGCTGAGTGTCTTCTGGGGAGCACAGGCCTCCAGTCTCCTCTCACTCACCTTCTGCTCCTGGTACTTAGCATAGTCCTGGGCGTACCTCTTTAACAGCTCCTTCTTGAGCTCTTCAGCTCGGGGGAAGGCTACTTCTTTCAGTTTCTGAAGAGATGAAACAAGAGTCATGAGAGTGTGATAGCCCCAAGGCAGGAAAAACAAGACCCAAACAGATGCAGGAATCAATGGAGCACCCAGAGATTATAAACCATCTGCTGGCTCACGAGGCAGGAAGGGCCAAGCAGCTCCACCACCACGTGTGGACAGGTTGGCAGGCAGCAGACAGGCATGTTGTGCCAGGTGGCAAAGGCAGCCCCAGCCCCAGCTTAGGCAGTGCTTGGGCACTCCTCCTGAAGGGGAGTGGTAGCTTCTTGTGTCTGTGAGCCATCCCCACGGATCCCCTGGCAAATCCCTTGAGGGCCACATTGAGCCACCATGCCTGGAAAAGCCAGGTGGTCTTTGCAAAGCAGGGAGTTGAGCAGGGAAGAAAGGACACCCCAGTGCTCAGTGGAGAGGCACCAGGGCAACCACAGCCAGCCCAGTGCAAGCACAGCGGGGAGAGAACCCCCCAAACCGGGACCCAGGGGGCTGGGGCTGCCTGCTCAGGCTGAGGCTCCTCAGCCTTGGGGTGGCTCACTCACCCCAGAGCCACGGACACCCCCAGGCCATGAGCCCACCCCACTCCTGGCAGCAGGCATGGAGGGCCTGGCCATGCCCCTGCTTACTCTGACTGTCTCCCTCTTCTCGGGTATGACGGCAGATTTGTACTCCGGGTGCTGTGGCAGCTTCTCGATGAAGAGCCTGTGGACAGGGCAGAGAGACCACGTCTCCAAAGCACAGCAGAGAGGGGCAGACAAGTGAGGGGCCTCGTGGGGTCGGATCTGCCACCCCCCCAGGCCCCGTGCTCCCCAGCAGCAGGCCACTCTGCTGCCCTTCTGCAGGAACCCCCCCACGCCGCCCGGGCCCCTCGCTCAGTCCCAGGGGAGCAGCTCCCACAGGATGTTTTCCTTCCACCTGGACTTTGGAGACAATCCTCAGGGACAAAGAGAGTTTGTTTGGAACAGAAACATTAATAAGCTGGTCTAAACCACCGAGGATGCTGGCAGCAGTTGGGGAGGGTCCAGGAGCAGCTGGGGGACTGGGCTGGCTCAGTGACACACCCTGCTCCTGCAGGGGGACGAACAGCCCGTGCAAGAGATGGGGACAGTAACTCACACCAAGGAAAAAGAAAACTCACAGGGAAGCTACAAGCAGGCTCACCATGTCAGCAGCTGCTGCAGCTTCTGCCTCTGTGGCCCAGCCACCCCAAAAGGTCAGGGCAATATTTGTAAATGTAGAAGTTTAGGGCAAAACGTGTGGAAGTGGCACTTGGGGACATGGTTTAGTGGTCATGGGAGTGTTGGGTCGATGGTTGGACTTGAGGGTCTAAGATCCTTGCTTGGAGGATCTCAGAGCTCCTCTCCAACCTTCATGGTTTAGGATTCTAGTATTTCAGGCAGCAGAGTGCTGGGAGGGAAATCAAGAGTGAGCTCATGGTGCTGCCCCCAGCATGGCTCTGAGCAGGTTCATGTTCAGCCTCTCTACAAAGGTGGCAACTGTTCCCCCCTCCCAGGAGCTCTGCAGGACTCAGAGGTGAAGGTGCAGAGCAAGACTACTGCAAGTGGTAGAGCAAGGGAAAAACTCCACAAACACAGAGCAGCTCAGGCTGCCTCAGCTCTGTGAGGCTCCCTGGCTTTGAGACAAGGGCACCAACTGGAACCCAGGAGGTGCCACCTGAGCAGGAGGAGAAACTTCTTTGGGGTGAGGGTGGCCGAGCCTGGAGCAGCTGCCCAGAGAGGCTGTGGAGTCTCCTGCTCTGGAGAGATCCCAAACCCTCCTGGCTGTGACCCTGGGCACCCTGCAGGGGGGTTGGATGAGATGATCCCCAGAGGAACCTTCCAACCCTCCCTGCCCAGCTGCTCAGGGCCAGCTCCCCACGAGCTCAGCCAGGTCCCTGCCTCCCACGAGCCGAGCTTGCTCCGAGCGCCCACCACGCCTGTGTGTGCAGCAAACAAAGGCAGCTGCTTCAGAACCCCGGCCCTCTGGGAAAAGAAAGGGCTTCTGGCAACCCCAGAGGCTCCTGGTTGCCACGGGGAGCGTGAGGATGCTCGTGCCAGGGACTCAGGTCCGCCTGCCGCTGCTGAAGTAGGTCAGTGTGCCGAGGAGACAAAACAAGGCTGTGATCGTTGCCAAGAGCCAGCAGATTAAAATGGAAGGGATTAATTAAGGAGGATTAAGAGCAGATGCTGGCCTGGAGAGGATGGAAAAAGCAGCAGAGACAGCTGGGTTTCCACAAGTCAGGAAGGAGGGGAAAAAGTGGGCAGCAGGATGAGAGGAGGACTCGGGCAGCCAGAGGAAAACTCTGGGAACACTCAGCAGTGGGAGGCTGGGGCTGGAGGCTGGGGCAGGGCAGGAATGGTTCATGCTTCCCCTGATGGCCCAGCTG